CAGATCATCATCTCAAGCACATAACTTCTTTCTGGAAGCAGAGCCTCCTGCCACTGGAGACATGTGCCATTTGGGTAGTGGGTGGCGACTATGAAGATCTTTAAGACTATTAAGAGTGTTGTTATGCAGTTCTGATGGGGCCAGAACTCACTATCCAGCACAGGCTAGCCTGGAATTTGCAGCAATTCTTTGCCTCTACTTCTGCCTCCCAAGTGCAGGGATTACAGACAGGTGCAACCACTTGCTAAAGGAGTCATTTCAAATTGTGCATCTCAATAAAAATGAAGATTCCTACCTCCTCAGCCAACATAGCTAGAGAATGGGCTATGTGAATTACCAGATAGCCTGATTACTTACAAAGGGGATGAGTTCTGAAGGAATCCAACCCACTGACTCTTCTGTCCTTCATCACCCCTCCCACACCTAAAAGTTGCCTATTTTCAGAGCACTCAATCTTCAAACACCCAAGCCTGCAATCTCCACCTGGTCTGTCTTACCAGGCACTCCAGGCCCTGTGAATTAATCGGGTTTGTATCTGAAACTCTTCTCTCCTGATTGATTTTTCGCATGTTTGCAAACATTGTCTAGTCTTTCTTCATTTCTCTAGCATTCTTCTTGTAAGGGTGGCCAGCACTTCTTGCCAGTCATGTCCATTAAAAACTGTGATGCCAGCCTCAGGTACCTACATGATTCTACTTTCTGAGTAGTCAGTGACCTAGGGCTTTTCTCTCCTTGTACTCATCTGCATCTCACCAGCATTAAACTCTCCCATGGCTGATTTCCCTACCCTGACATCCCCTTCTTTCTTTCTTGACTCCCGTATGCTCAAGATTCCTCCTAATTCTAGAGTGTGACCTTCTTACTCAATGTGATTATTCCTCTTAAGAATGGAAACATTCTTTCCTCTATTCCTCTTCTTCCATGCTTCCCAGTTCCACCTTCCATGTAGTTTCAGTTCTCACCTTGGAAAAGCATAGTCTGAACCTAGTTACCTTTGACTAAATCCCTCTTTCCAGCTCCAGGCCACCGGTCTGCACAGCAATAAACCTCCACAAAGCAATCCTGCCTGGACCACAAACTCTCCTTAATGCAGCCTCTAAAATCCCTCTCCCATCTCAGCTATCTCCATTCCCACTGCTGTGACCCACCTACAAATATCTCATCCTCCCTCTCAATTGACACAGTCCTTTGCCTCAGCATTCCATCACATTGGACCAGTGAAGTCTAATTGGCTGCTGCAAACTTCCATCTTCAAGCTCTCCTTCTTGCTCTAAACTCAACAAGCCCTTGCACATAGTTGCTACTAAATGATAAAGATACATAACCACCACAACTGTAATGAAACAGTACATTCAAGTTTTGATAGACACTAAACCTGCTTTCAACATTTTCTTACCATCAGTTACTTTGAGCAACAAAGTACCAAATACTTGGCCAGGCACAAATGATATCTCTGCTACTGCTTCTATTAATATTGTTCCAAAGAGTAGCTGGCTTTCAGCTCTGACTCTGCCAGGCATCATGGTAAGAATTTATAGGGACTATAGCATTTAACCTTAACTACTACTCTATGAGATAGTAGTATTAACATCCCATTTCACAAATGGGACAGCTGAAGCATGGAGGAAAACTGAGTCACTTCCCGGCCTTTAGGGGGCTTCCTGAATAAAAACTGATGGTAAGGTGTCACAGCAAGGACACAGAGTTCTATGAAGTTCAAAGCATCTGTACACTGGACTGCTTACAAGGAGGTTACGACTTGGGCCAAGGGCCAGAGGTGCTTCCCTGGAGAAGCCATACTTAAGTGGGTGCTGAAGGAGGGAATCAGCCTAAACCTGGAAAGGAGGAGGGAAGGAAGGGAGGGAGGGAGAAAGAAAAGGAGGGAGGGAGGAAAGGAGGGAAAGAGGAAGGAAGAGAAAGAGGAAGTAAAAGCCTAATAAGGAAGCAAAAGAGGAAGCAGGCTAGCCTGAGATTCATGCTTCTTCTACCAAATAAAATAAAATAAGCAAGTATTCTTCCCTAGTGTGGGTGCCTGCAATCTGCCTTCTTCCTGAGCACTGGGAATGACCACCTGCTGTACTCCTAGAGAGCGGGATACCAAGATGCCCTACCAAGCTGCATTCCATTTAAACACAGAGGCCAGGGTGCTCATATAAGCAAATCCCTTATAGAATCCTACTCTTAAAACAAACAAACAAACAAATAAATAAAAAGGATTCATGGAGCCATGTTATCCCAAAAACTTATCTACCATGACCACTGGTGTTACAGATTCCAATTTACCAAAAGGCAAAGGCTCTCTCCTAATGTCACAAAAGTGCCCTGCTTCATCAACTCAAAGAGGCTTTGTCCCCAAGAGTCAATAATTATAAACTAATAAAATCAGTTCCTTTAGCCATCTCACACAATGGGGTCACCTTCTCCACAAAACACAATGGATTTTTTTTCTTAACTTACAACACCTGAGACAGGACTGTCTCTTGCTTCTCCTTTCCTTTTCCCTTCCATTTGCCTGTGATGAACAAACAGAATACACCAAACCCTTTCTTGTGGAACGAAATTCTCTGTCTCCTCCATCATAGCCAGCGTATTATAAACATACAGCTTTTGTGACATCAATGCAAAGTTTTATTGTGCCGTTAGCTTTGATAGAAAGCACTGCAGAAAGTTGTTTAGAAATTAAATATCTAAAACAAGCTATTTTAAAATCCAGGGCCTTCACTATTTCATGTCTGCAATGGAGAAATTTCATCTTGGGGAGAGCAAGCTGTCTTTCACACCATATGGCTAATGGTGGTGCATAGCAATTAGCCAGGCTGATTAATGGTGAACAGATTCTAATTTTATGCTTATAATTGAGGCTGCATTTGCACCCCTGGTGCAAATTCAGCACATCCCAACTTCCACTTACAACAGGCAAGAAATCAAGAGAAATAGGATGGTATGGAAAGTGAGAATTTTTTTCCTGAAGCCCCCTAAAGAGCATCAGATTTGCAATTTAAAAGACTGTTAGCCACACAATAGATGACAGGTTTGTGTAATGGGGTCATGGCAGCCTGGTAAACAAACAGTACCCTGTCCACATCTATAGGCAGCCAGGAAAGCCGTAATCTGTAACATTAGCAAGATGACATTTGGAATATGGCTTTTCCCTCTTAGCCACGCGGTACAAACAGCATCATTTGCCTTCAGTGGTTTGAGGATTCTATTTTTGCTATTTTTATGTTTCTGAAAAATAGAGGGAATGCCAGCAGTAAAGCACAACAACCAGCATCATAAAGTACTTTGGACCAATGAATTTTAAAAACAAGGAAAATATAAACTGCTTTAATAGAGGAGAGGCCTGTGGGTGAAAGGCATAATATATCTCTAAGTAGTTCAAGAATAGAATTCTCTCCAGCATAATCCGAACATATGCAGATACAAAATGCAAATAGACGATGTACAGATAGTGCTGGGCCTGTTAGTTGAAATCCATCTTCCTGTTTCCTGTTTTGCTACAGTCGTGTGCAGCTCTACATAGAGGGTTCTGTCTAATGGTATGCTAATTTAGAAGGCTAAAATAGTAGAGAAATGGTTGGAGAAGTAGGAATGCAGGCAAGGTCATGTTTTACTGCTTTTTAAAACTGGATTTTGCTCTTTTAATTCGGAAAGATTTAATTCAGCTAGATTATATCCAGTTCACACACACAGGGTAAAACTAACTTTTCCCACTAATGGAAAAAATCCCACACCATTTGGGAGTGTTCTGCTACTGTTTTAACTCTGGAGGGAAAAAAAAAAACAACCTAGTTTTTAGAATAATTAACGAGTTTTACGAATCACTGAAGTAAAATGTGTGAAACTCTTCTATATCTTCGAACTAAAAATCAGAAGTATGCTTTTTTATTTTTAAGGAAAAATGGAATTTGTAGAGACCCAAATGTTAATATTTGGGATTTTGTTCAGGAAACACATGGAGCCTGTCCCATTCTATTCCCACTTGTAGAGTTTTGAGACTGTCTTTTTGGGACAGTGTGTGAGCCGCAGATGAGGGCTACCCGTGCTGAGATGGCAGCTGAAGACTCACGAGGATTGGTCAATGCATTCAGCAGCCAAGCACACATTGTGCCAGGGAGAGCCTGCTCAGCTAACAAAGCAATTAGGAGCCTTCATCTGATGCAGAGTGGCATCTTCCTGCTTTATCCAATTACTTGAGAGATACAGGGAACAAAATGCTGGGTTATTTTACAAGGAATAAGAGCACAAGTTAAAAGGCTGTTCCCTGATCTTGTCCTTCTCCTGTGCAGGCCTCGCTGAGGCCGTGGAGGTGAATGTGGTCTCAGATGCCATTTCAGCATGATTACAGCTGGAAGTGAAAAGACTCCTATGTGAGAAGCATAAATTATTAGACCTTTTAGGGATTCCTTTTCACTACCCTCCCCCAATCACAAAGCTCACTAACCCCAAGAAATATTAACTTCATGTTCAGATATGAACAGGATAACTCAAAGAACAAATGCAGGCAGAAAAGATAAAAAAAGAAAGAGATGAGTTTAAGGAGAAATAGGGCTTGGGTAAGGGGGTTATATTAAGTAGAACTCAAAAGGAGGAACTCTAACTTTCAAGTTGACCCAAACAGAAGCCTCTGTTGACTTCAAGAGAACTCTCATTTTACTAAGCTTGAAGTTGAGTGCAAATGTCACCACTAAGCAGGCTGTATTGTATTTGACTCCACTGTGAAAGATGAGGAAGGGCACTTCTCTGTGGCCATTAACAGTGAAGGATCAAAATGCAGACTGATGTCTTCAGAGATTAAATGTTATAAATAATTGAGAATGGCCATGATCTCTGACACTACCAAATGTATCTAAGAATTCTTTCTTCTGGGCTATTTACTAAAAACAAGATAAACATATACCCAACCAATGGAAGTGATTTTGCCTAGATTTGAGATCCAAATTCATCTTTGCTTTGCAGAGAGAGAGAGAGAGAGAGAGAGAGAGAGAGAGATTTCGTACCTGCACATGATCTCGTGTGTGAGCAACACTCGACACATTTCAGGGTTCTTGTCTTGGCCTTCGTACACTATGGCCTGAAAGTAAAGGCATGTTTTTAGCTAAAAATAGAAGCAAGTAGCAGAGCATTACCTATAACAATCTTGTTCTTCACTGTCTGGCCCTTGCTGGGGGCCAATTAACTTATAGGAGCAAAAAGCCTCACTGGGCTGATTATTTCAGGACACATTGCTCAGGATCAGCCCAAATTGAGTGGAATAGGATGTGACCCTCCCTGCCCTCTCAACCACCTCATTATGCACATCTTTGGACCAGTGCACATGATGGGCATCTGTTGTCAAGACAACCATAATTCTCTTTCAATACAGAATAAAAATAAGTCTAATCAATAAAAAAGGAAGCTTTAGAAGGCTGAAGAGGTTACAATATTTTGCATTTCAGATATAGAAGAACATGTGGGTTTGATCCCAGTAGAACACATTTGCCTCTCCACTACACCCAGACCCCACAGTTAGTGTTCTATTGGCAAGCAGCAGAAAAAACAAGTTTGGGAAAAGCAAAGCAAGTCTGTGCACCAACTATGTCATTTCTGAAGTGATACAGTCAGGGAAAACCCCTCTTTCCCACCAAGAGGCTGAAAATATGAGCTGGTGTGGAGTGTACAACCACCCAAACAGAAACATTTGCCAGCATATGCTGTGTGGGGAATGAAGTCACAGTCAGCTCCCTAAATGAAGACTTCTGTCTCATTCTCAAAATCTGGACTCCTAAGCCAGCCACAGTGTTTATGTGCTCTCTCTCTCTCTCTCTCTCTCTCTCTCTCTCTCTCTCTCTCTCTCTCTCTCTCTCCCTTCTCTTATAATACAATCACATTTTGCTTCAGGATACCCACCAAGTTCCCCAAAAGCCTACACGGGGCTCTACAGGTTACTATTCCAGCCAAAGAAAGTGCAATTGGTAGAAGAGGATTCTGCATCAGCATACGTTTAACTCACTTAACACTGTATCACTGCATAATAGTAATATAACACAGTTTCAAATTGTTAATAAAATTATGTTCACACATTCACAGAACCTTCAGTTTCTCAGCGACAAAACTACTTAAATTAACCAAAGGTTATTCTTATTCTTATGTGGTGCATAAAAGTACTTCTGTGCCTAGCTTGTCATTCTCTCTCATGCACTTTGGTTCTGAACTTGAAGATAGAACCTCCACAACGTGGAAGACCCGGTGCAGGCAGATCCATGGGTCATGACCTGGTCACAGTATCTGAACACACTTTGCAACAGATTAAAAATTAAGGAAAAGGGTTTGGGTGGGAAAATAAAAAGGCACATTTCTTTACCACTGTCCCATCAAAACCATTTTTTTTTTACAGCTAGCTCATCATAACCTTGTATTTAAAAATAAAATGCTTTTTCTTTAACTGTATACTTCTAGAAAGGATGAAAGAATATATTTAGAAGTCCAGAGCAGGATAGCCAGTACCCAGATTCCTCAAATGTTTGCATTTTACTGAATTTGCTTCCTATTTTTCTCTTTTTCCCTAAATCACTTTTTAGCAAATTGCAGATATGGCCTCAATATATCAGCATGCATTTCCTGAAAACAAGGCATTTTCATGCATAATCACAGCACAATTATCTAAATCAGAAAATTAGCATTGATACAATAGAATAATCTAATCTCCAGTCCTTATTGAGATTTACCAATTACCTAATAATGTCCTTTACAGCAAAAGAAAACCCAGTAACTAATCACTGCGCTCAGCTGTCATGTTTCCTTTCATTCCGAATATCCTCCAGTCATTGTAGTTCACGGCTTCACCATTGTTGAAAATGTGGGCCAGTTACTTTGCAGAATATCCTTCTATTTGGGTTCCTCTGGATTTCTTAAAATCATATTAGGGTCTTAGACTTCAAGGCAGGACGACAGCAAGGGTGATGCTGAATCCTCTTTGAACTAGGTTCTGCTATCCACAAGTTTACTAACAGCATATACTCTGACCAATCCGTTAGGGTGATGCCCACCATCCACCAGTGACCACAGGCCAGCTTTTCATGCTGTAATTGAACTCAGGATTCCAGGATCATTCAGCAAGCACCTTTACCTGCTGAGCCTTCTCCCTGGCCCCCTCTCTCCTATATTCCTAATGACCTTTTCAAATTCCAAGAAGTTTCTTTACTCAAGAAAATGCAGCCAGGCATGGTGGTTCATGCCTTTAATCCCAGTCCTAGAGAGGCAGAGGCAGGCAGATTTCTGAAACCTGATCTACTATGTGAGTTCCAGGACAGCCAGAGCTACATAGAGAAATCCTGTCTCAAAAAAAAAAAAAAAAGAAGAAGAAAAAAGATAGAGAGAAAGAAGATGGGATAGAGGCAGGGAGGGAGGGATGAAGAAAAGAAAAATGCATTGATTAAAATCTTCGAAAACCAAAATCGAGGCCAGTGAGGTCGCTCATCAGATAAAGGTGTTCGCCAACAAGCCTGGCAGCCTTAGTTAACTCCTGGGGATTCACAAGAAAAGAACTGACAAGTTGACCCTGGTCAGTGTACAGCTGCTAGTAAAGTTTTCCATACTAGGGAGAGAGAGGTTGGAGAGAGAGATTATGTTATTTTGGGGTGGGGCAGGAATATGAGTTATATAAGATCTCATTTTGAATCTTTCTAGGTGAGATAAACATTATTAGAACCAAGGCTACTAGTTGAAATGAGTGGGACCATGACCATATCCAGTTAATAATCTGCAAGGCAAAGCCACTGAGGACTGATTTTGATGATGGGGACTCCCAGAAGCCCTGTGTTTTTTCCCTCATAACTGAGCATCACTTGTTGCGGGCCTGCTCCCTCTGTAGCTCATTTCTTTACCAAATACCAAGCTGCCACTCTGCTTCTGGCTATGGAGTCAAAACGGAGGATTTTTCTCCAAATCAAGCATAGAAAAATGAAACCAAGAGTGTGGATCTACTCAGAAATAATTAAGAACTCTAGGGAGATCGGGAATCTGAGGTTTCTGTCTTGCCTCTCCCTGAGCCTGGATAGAATAAGAAGAGTTCTCAGTGCATAGGAGCAGAAAAAGAACTACTACTTCTGGGGAATTCTGCAACACAAGAGAGTGGATGTCTACCACAGACTGGGAAGGACAACTTTCCTGTCTCTAGAGTAAACGACACTGTCACATTAAGGGAGTAAGCTTTCCTGTGTAATTCAAAGGCAGAACTCCTTTTAACACTGTAGATAGGGTTTAAAAAACAAAAGCAAACAAACAAAAAAATAGTTCTTTTTTAATTACTGAAAAGACTTGTTACAGCACACTTTCGTGCATATATGCATACAACACACAGCAAATAAGGATTTCTGAAATGAACATCTGGATGGGACCTCGTATATAGATTTATTTGGAGATCTCCAATGTCACAATAACATTAAGACAGACTTCAACCTTCCTATTTTTTTTTTAAATCATTGCCTCCAAGTTCTCCCTGCCACATGCTCCTTTACTAAAAGCATCTTCACTGTGTACATTTAGCACACACAGCAAGACTGGTTCACAGTTGAGCAAATCTAGATGTTAACAACCTCCCCTCCAAGAGTAGGTATCATCTAACACCAATCTGAGGCAGGGCTGGAGGGTGGGGTTCAGCTTCTCTTCACTATTTAAATGTCTGCTTCTGTGGAGTTGGAGGCAAGCTGGTTGAGGTTGGATCAGCTGGGAGATCCCAGGGGCATATAAACAGCATTGACTGTTTTAAGTGAAACCATTTTAACAGACAGCTGGTTTAGGACCCAGACAATGGAGCACTGAAAAAGAAGTCTCATTGTCATACTCCACAGTAAATCATGCCCCTGCTCATCTCGAGGAAGGTGGTCTGCTGAGAGAGCGACAACGACAACTCTGGCTTGAATAAACCCATGTGTTTATTTATCAGTAGTAAGAATGGGGGAGCCACCACTAAGGTGGGAAGGAGAGCAAGAGAAATTATTAAAATGCATTATTTAAATACATCATCGAGGATGAATCAAGTTGAAGTGTATAACCACAGAAACAAAAGATATAGCATCAAGTGGAAAATAATGTTTACATTAATCCTGCCATGAGCAAACAAATCCCTCAAGGCAGTAGGGATGCTTGGACGTAAAACAGTAAATAGCAATAACTTCACCTCAACTTCCAAAACCTGGCACTACTAAGAGGGAAGTTGTCAAAACCAGTTGTATTGGGAGACCTGATTTTCTAATGTAACATTAGTCTCTCCTCTCTAAATGTCAACCTCAAACAGAAAATAACAAGCTGGCAGAAACAAATACAAGCTCCTGCTAATCCTCTACTCATTTTCAGACTGCCTTTTGAACCATAATTTTTTTATAATTAACTAAATAAGAGGAAAAAAACATAGGCATTGTTAAAACTTTCACACCCTCCAAAAACAGCACTAGTGGAAATTTTGCTGTCCAAAGAGAAAATGCCATTCATTTCAAGTGCTTAATTATAAATCAGTGTGTGACATTTGTGAAAATCAGTCAGTCTGTGTACCATGCTTGTCTCCGTTACAACTCTTTAAAAGGGCATCTTTGGAGTATAGTTCATCCCTGGCTTTTCCAAAATACTGTTGAGGCTAAAAAGTTCACTGAAACTCACTATGGATAAAGACCACACAGCAAAAGGAAAACGAGACGGTGAGCACACACCGGGATCATACTTCAGTAGGCTGCCTAGAGAAGTTCAGAGAATTGAGCTTAGTTTTCTTTGTTTACTTTTCTAATAGTTTTAACTCTTTGAGTACCACACCAGAATCAAGGGATCAGTGAGACTGTGCATGTTCCTCATTAGAAATTTTTCTTGGATTGCAATAAGGAGGGAGCAAGAGGGGGAGGGAGGAGAGGTAACAGAAACTTGATTTTCCCACATAAATCAAAATAATAACCTTGAAAATGATACTCCTATTTCTGAATACAAAACAAAAAAAGCAAAGTCTATTTGTCACCTTAGAGAAAAAGGACAATAAATATAAAAACTTCCTTCTTCAACCAGAAGAGACATACCTTCTAAATATAAGCCGTCAGTAACAGCAAATTA